GGGAAAAGGCAGGAAATAATAGATTCACTGTTCCAAAAGGAATTGGTTGATGTTCCGCCATTTCAGGAAGTAGCATATGATCAAGAGCCAGTGATACTGAATGAAAAAGTCTTAAGATGCACTGAAGGCATTGGTGAAAAACAAGGTTCCAGGAACTGATGGAATACCAGTTGAGGTATTTTAATATATCAATGCAGCACTGCAAGCACTCATTCATCTATGCCAAGAAATTTGCAAAGCAGCTACCCATCCAGTGAACTGGAAGAGGTCCATATTTGTGCCCATTCCAAAAAGGGGATCCAATGGAATGCAGAAAATGCCTGAAAATTTTCATTAATATCACATGTAAGTAAGATTTTGCTGAAGATAATTTGAACACAGCCGTAGCAGTACATTGACAAGGAACTACCAGATATATAAACTGGATTAAGAAGGGAATGTGGAACAAGGGATACCTTTAATAATTTCAGATGGATCTTGACTGAAAGCAGAAAATACCAGAAAGGTGTTCTGTGTTTTATTGACTATGCAAAGGCTTTCAACTACAATGAAGCATAACCAATTGTGGATAATATTATGAACAATGGGAGTTCAGGACACTTAATTGTGTTCATGTGGAACTTGTACTTAGGCAAAAGGCAGTCATTTGAACAGGACAGGGGATAAAATACCAGGAAAGGCATGTGTCAGGGTTGTATCCTTTCACCATACCTATTTCAATCTGTGTTCTGAGCAGATAATCCAAGAAAGAGGAAGAACACAGCATCAGGATTGGAGGAAAACTCATTAACAATGTGTGATATGCAGATGGTATTACCTTGCCTGCTGAAAGTGAAGAAGACTTGAAGCACTTATTGATGAAGATCAAAGACTATAGCCTTCAGTATGTATTGAACCTCAGCATAAAGAAAACAAAATCCTCAACTGGACCAATAAGCAACAGCACAATAAATGGAGAAAAGGTTGAAATTTTAGGGAAGTTCAGGGATTTCATTTTACTTGGATCCATAGTCAATGCCCATGGAAACAGCAGTCAAGAAATCAGACAATATATAGCATTGGGCAGATCTACTGCTAACAACCTCTTTAAAGTATTAAAGAACAAAGATGTCACTTTGAAGACTAAGATGAGTCTAACCCAAACCAGGAGCTCTGGTAGCCTGGTGCCTAAGGCACTTGACTGCTAACGAGAAGGCTGGCAGTTCAAACCCACCAGCCACTCCTTGGAAAGAAGGTTGGGCAGTCTACCTCTGTAGTGATACTGCCTCAGAAGCCCAAGGAGGGTCGCTATGAGTTGGGTGCAACTCGCCGGCACATTACAACAACAACAACAAAAAAAAACAACAACCCAAACCTTGATATTTTCAGTTGCACATATCATGTGAAAGTTGGACAATGAATTAAAAAGAAACCACAGAAGAATTGATGCATTTGAATTATGGTGTGGGTGAAGAATACTGAATATACCACGGATTGCCAGAAGAATGAATAAATCTGTTTTGGAAGAAGTACAGCCAGAATGCTACTTAGCAGCAAGGATGGTGACACTTTGTCTTATACACTTTAGGCATATTATCAGGAGGGACTAGTCATTGGAAAGGATGTCATGGTTAGTAAAGTAGAGGGTCAGAGGAAAACGCTCAATGAGATGGATGGATGTAGTGGCTGCAACAATGGGCTCAAACATAGCAATGCTTGTGAGGATGGCACAGGACTGGGCATTGTTTGATTCTGTTGTCCATGGGATCACTATGAGTTGGAATGGACTCATTGGCACCTAACAATAGCAACAACTATGAAGAAGTGTTGCTGTATCTGTGAAGAACTAGAAACTTCAGAGAAGCCCTCAGAAGGGTTACTGTCATTATTTTTGGAATGCTCAGCTTATCTCATTTGACCATTGTGAGCCCTTTCTACTCAGCTCCCATATGTTTTTAATATATACCCATCATTCTTTGAACATTTCCTTGTCTTCTGGTACAGTAATATGTACATGCTGATCTTGTGCTTTCTTTGTCTTAGCCTTGGATTCTGTCATTTCTCAAGGAGCCCTGGTTTCTTTCAGTAGATAATTGAATTTAAAAACCAAGATGTGGGTGGTAAGAGTACTCGTTGCTACTGTATATAATTACTAGGATAACTCAACAGAGAGACCTAGGAAATATTTGTGTAAACACACAGCAGTTAAAAAACCAGTTGCCATGGAGCCCTTTCTGAGTCATGATGACCCCATGTTTATCAGAGTAGAATTGTGCTCCATAGGGTTTTCAGTGGCTGATTTTTTGGGAAGTAGATCACCACTCCTTTCTTCCTAGGTGCCTGTGGCTAGACTAGAACCACCAACCTGTCAACATACATACACACCCATATATCTGTTTTTTCATCTGTTTGTACATATTACAACCATGTTCATACCTTCAATATAATCCACTACCACAGATAGCATTCTAACTTTTCCATATTGGTAATTCCCTTATCTAAGAGTAAGAAACTTGGCTTCTGTTATTCACACTGTATTTACTTATTTGCCCAATCCTAGAGTATGCATAAAGTTATTTTAGAATTCTAACCCATACCACTGTGAAAAACAAGCCTACCAACTAGAATTCAATACTTGTTTACAATTCCCTTTACTTTTGTCCTTAAGGTTGTTGTTGTTTGTTGTTATGTGCCGTCGAGTCATACCCAACTCATAGCGACCCCTCCTTGGGTTTCTGAGGCAGTATCACTATGGAAGTAAATTGCCCCATCTTCCTTCTGAGGAGTGGCTGGTGGGTTTGAACCGCCAGCCTTCTGGTTAGCAGTCAAGTGCCTTAGCCACTATGGTACCAGAGCTCCCTTAGGGTATATAGTCCTTAGGGTATATAGTCCAAATACTGTGGTCAAAAGTTATTTGATTTAGGTCTTTTCTTCTTAATCATGTGTGGTTGTGATGTTCCTTTGATTTAGATTTAGTCAGGCTTGTTTATTTCTGTTTTTATTCTATTTTGGTCTTATCTCTGTGCTTTTTGATATTACTGTCATTTAAATATGTGAAACATTGACATGGTTCTGAAAGTCTGAACCATTTAAAATGATACCAAGGGGAGACCTCTTCCCCACCCCTTCTTATCTTCCCATCCTGTCAACCCTTCCACTGCTTCCTGTAAGCCACACTCTCCTACTTTCTGTTTATTCTTTCTATGCTCCTTTTGCACAAATGAGTGAAAGGTAGTATACCATAGATTCTGTTTTCCACTTTGCCTTTTTAACTTAACATATTTTGGGAGTCACTATAAATAATTCTGTAGGGGTCTTACTCTGTTTTAAAGCTTCAGTGTATTCCAGAGTGTGGATATATTGTAGTTCATTTAGCCTCTCTCCTATGTGCAGGCATTTAGCTTTTCAACATTTTGCTGTGGCAAACAAGGCTGTGTTGAATAACCATGTACATGTTTTGTTTGTTTTTTAATTGTTGAAGGGGTATCTTCAGGGGAAATTGAGAGTGAGGTATTTTTTATTTTGTCTCCCTCCCCCCATTTTTTTTATTGTAAGTATATATGTAACAAAACATTTGCTGTTTCACCACTCTTTACATGTTCAGTTCAGTGACATTAACTTATACTCATCATGTTATTCGACTGTTACCTTTATCCTTTCCCAGACTTTTTCGTAAGATTTGAAACATGGTGGTCAGCGAAGGAGGCCTCTCTGAGATTCAGTTGAACAGAGATTTGGGGAGGTAAGGAAATGAGTCATGTTGGTCTCCATTGGAAGAACAAATCAGACAGAAGCTCAGAGACCTTGTGGCAAAAGGTGCCTTTGTGTCAGAGAGATGAGAACTGTCTGCCCCATACTACTGGCAAGCCTTTCTTGGGTACCTGCTGTTTTAAGGGCGTTACATATGTTACTCCTTCCTTTGTCAGCATCTCAGTTCTACAGAAAAGGAGACTGGAGAAGAGAGAGGGTTAGTTACTTGCTGAAAGTTATACCACTTCTAATTGCCTTGTCTGGAATTCGCATCAGGCAGACTGGTTGGTTCCAGAACCCCTACATGTTATTCTACCTCTTACACACTAGAATTTGAGATGATTTTTAGGATGTACAAAAGTTTCATTTTATATAACTCATAATAAACTTAGAAAAGAACTCCAATAGTCCTGGAAGAGTAATAAGATAGATAGGTCAGTAGGCCTTTGGTAACATACAGTCTGTGACTTATCATGGAAGTCCACCTGCATGGTAGCCCCCATCACACTATCTGATCAGTTCTTGTAGGCAACAGCCATAGATTGACTTGATAATCTGGGATTTGTTTGTGAAATATCTTGGGTTCTTACTTCTTACCATGTGGTGCTTTCTCATCACTTAGAATAAATATGCAACTATTTTTCTGTTTTCCTACTTTGGCTTACCTCTGAATTTAAAATGATTTTTTTTTTTTAACACCCTTTGGGTTTGTCAGTCTGATTTTTATCAGTGATAATTGAGGTTTAGAGCACAATGATGAATTAATTACTGACCCAGTGGTGCTAAGTAGGCTGGCAGTGGTTGGCTTTGTACCTATGACTCCTAGGGCCTAAGGAGCTCCTTGCCCTGAGCCAAAAAATGTGTATATTTGGAGAGAGTTGGAGTTCCCAATAGCAGTGCTGACTTGCATGTGGAAGACATGGTCTAAACAGGACAGACTGATTGCAACTCTGTTGAGAATATATCTGGTTTCCCTCACTTGAAGCTGCTATGACAATAATTTCATGGGTAACTTTGAAGTTAACATAGGATAACACCTTGTTTCAACATGAAATATGTTTTGTTATGCTTTGTCTTGTTGGGTGTACATTTGACAAATAACATCTGTATTTGTGTATGTATGTTTGTAGCTTTATTGAGATACAATTCATAGAATATATATTAGTTGTTTTGTTTTAAAGCTAATTTCACTAGCTGAAAGGGCTTCAAAAGTTTCCAATCATGAGATGTTTACACAAGCAAAATGACTCCTGATTGTTCTTGTATCACAGGTCTGGTGCCCAATGTCTCCTGAGTTTTATCACGAGTACGTGGCAATCAAAACTAAGAAACGAATCTTGCTGTACACAATGAACCCCAACAAATTCAGAGCTTGCCAGTTTCTAATCAAGTTTCATGAAAGGAGGAATGACAAGATTATTGTCTTTGCTGACAACGTGTTTGCCCTGAAGGAGTATGCCATCCGACTGAACAAGTAAGAATTGAAAAATTGGAGTCAACTCTAGGCCAGCTTATTTTCCCCATGTGAGCATACAGAAGATGCCTGTTTTTCTCTCAAACGTCTCGGGAATTTCTCAGGATGTATAGATCAGATTCTGTGAATCTGGTCCTGAGAACCAGGCAACACAGAACAGCCATTGGTCAGAACATATAGAAAAGCCTGGTCACCCTGAAACTAGAGAAACAGGGGCTGGAGAGTCAAATGATCTGGGCCTCACATCTACAATTTGGGCTCCAGAAAGTAGGCAGGAATTGGCATCTAGAGTTTTTGTCTGAATGAGCATTTGAGGCCATGTGAGCATGGTGAGCGGAAACAAAGCTGAGTGTATTACACAAAGATCAGGAAGGCAAGGTGGGCTGGGCTAGCATCCCACATCTGGGAAAAGCTTCTCAGGAAACACCCATCCAGCATCCTCACTAATCCACAACCTCTCACAGATAACTTTACTTAAGGCCTGACTAGCTAAATTCCCTGCCGAGTAATGAGGAAGAGGTATGTGCTTCCTTCTGCAATGACACAGGCCTTTAGGTGTTGTAATGATACAAGAAGGCAAGGTCCTCTGTGGAGACAACTTTTCATTCCTTTTTGGAGAGGGAAGAGGGAATATAGCAGGTTCTATGACACGTATCCTATATATATGTTTTATTTATTTTGATCACTCACCTGGGATGATTGCATTATTCTCACAAAAGAATTGATGCACAGATTGAATCCATTTCTCACACTTCTGAAAATTATGCTTTATTTTTTATTTAGAAAGTGTTATTTTTCAATATATAATATATGAATTATGAAAAATAGCAGTTCCCTTCACCTGTATCTTCCCACCCACCATTCCTGTTCCCAAAACACATAGCCACTTTCAACTCTTAAATTTTTTTCTGTTCACCTTCCTATTTCTAATATTTAAAGCAGCAATTTCTTCATTATCAATTTCAGAAATTCCTTGTTAACTTCCTACTATGGAAGGTGAGTATTTTGCTTTCTCACACACCCTCCCCCTCTCATTCACTTTCTCTCTCTCCATCCTCCCAATATGGTAATGGCATAAGCTTGGGTTAAATTAGTATTCAGTGTTACATTATTTTGATTGTATAAACACTGTTCAGGTTGAGCCATATTTGTACTATGATTCATTTCCTTTCTTATAAATATTTATTTTTCTTGGAGTTTTTAATTGCTTTGTTGCTTTTGCTTGGTTTTCTATACACTTAATACTAATGTCTCTCTAACTTTTCACATAATTGTGAATTCCCTCTTGATAAGTTCAGACCTATCAGATAATCTGTTTTCTCTTTTCCCTTGAGAAGATCACTACTAACCCTTCATCCTTTTGCTGCAGTCTAGCCCATTTGCTCTCTAGGCTGTCTTCCTGGGGCTTCCCATTATCATCATCCAGTAAATTCCCTGTGCCTGTTCCCTGTGGTAGAAGCTTTATTTCCAAATCACAAGTTTCCTCTTTTTTGGTCACACATTTTGATGGAATATATCCTGTGGTAGATTCCTGAGAAAAAGTATACAGGAGGAGAAGTTTTTGAGACTTTACATGCTTGCAAATGTATTTATTCTACCCTCCCACTAGATTGGTAGTTTGACTTGGCCTCATAATGTTAAAAGCAGCTGTTTTCTCAGGGCTTCCAGTATGCCTTCTTGGATGTCTGATGCCTTTGTTATTCCTCTTAGCTTGTGATCTGTGGTGATGGTGGTTGTTTATTTTCCCTGTCTCAGGAAGCTTGTAGTATCTTCTCTTTTTTTTTCCCCCAGAAATTTCAAAGTGGTGTGGCATAATGTGGTCTTCTTTCCTTCATTGTGATGGGCACTCAGTGGGCCGGTTCAGTCTGGACTCATATCTTTTCATCCTCAAAAGTTCTTTCTTTGGTTTTGACCTTCTCTATATTTCTCTGTCCTCTCTCTTTGGTATCCCTACTGGTCAGATGTAAGATCTTCTGAATAGCCTCTTTAGGTTTTTTTTTTTTCCACTTCTACTTTTTTTTTAATCTTTTAACCTTTCTGTTGAAATTTTTGTTACCTTCCAAGATTTCTTTATTGACAGCTGCTTTTGTATTATGAGTGTTCTATGAATAATTTCCTTTAGAAGGATGTCACTAGGAAGCAGAGATTAAAGATTTCCCGATTGTCCAGCTTTTCTGAACTGCTATACTATTCTATCATCTCCAATAACTACTAGTCTTCTTAGTACTCTCCCTCCCATCTTGTTGTTGTTAGATGCTGTCGAGTTGCTTCCGACTCATAGCAACCTCATGCACAATAGAATGAAACACCACCCGATCCTGCGCCAGTTCCATGATCCTTGCTATACTTGAGCACATTGTTGTAGCCACCGTGTCAATCCATCTCGTCAAAGGCCTTCCCCTCTTTTGTCGATCCTCCACCTTACCAAGCATGATATCCTTCTCCAGGGAATGGTCCCCTCTGACAACATGACCAAAGTAGGTGAGACGAAGTCTGGCCATCCTCGCTTCCAAGGAGCATCTTGGCTGCACTTCTTTCAGGACGGATCTGTTAGTTCTTTTGGCAGTCCATGGTACTTTCAGCATTCTTCACCAGCACCACAACTCAAAAGGATCAACTCTTTTTCGGTCTTCCTTATTCATTGTCCAGCTCTCACATGCATACGAGGCTATGGGAAATATCATAGCCTGTGTCAGGCGCACCTTCATCCTCAAGGAGACATCTTTGCTCCTTAGCACTTGAAAGAGTTCCTTCGCAGCTGACCTACCCAGTGCTACACGTCATCTAATATCTGACTGCTGCTTCCATTGGACTCGATTATAGAACCAAGCAATATGAATTCTTTGACAAACTCAATCTTTTCTCCATTTATTGTGATGCTACTTATTGGTCCAGTTGTGAGGATTTTTGTCTTCTTTATATTGAGATGTAATCCATACTGCTCTGGTAGCATAGTGGCTAAGGCACTTGACTGCTAACCAGAAGGCTGGCGGTTCAAACCCACCAGCCACTCCTCGGAAGGAAGGTTGGGCAATCCTACTTCCGTAGTGATACTGCCTCGGAAACCCAAGCAGGGGTCGCTATGAGTCAGGGCTGACTCGACGGCACATAACAACAACAACAACAACAATCCATACTGCAGACTGTGTTCCTCAATCTTCATCAGTAAGTGCCTCAAGTCATCCTCACTTTCAGCAAGCAAAGTTGTATCATCAGTGTATCTCAGGTTAATGATTCTTCCTCCAATCCTGATGCCACATTTTTCTTCATATAGCCCAGCTTCTTGTATTATTTGCTCAGCATATAGATTGAATAAGTATGAGGAAAGGATACAACCCTGATGCACTCCCTTGATTTTAAAAACCATGCAGTCCCCTTGTTCCATTCGAACGACAGCCTCCTGGTCAAGGTACAGATTCCTCATGAGTACAATCAAGTGTTTGGGAATTCCCATTCTTCTCAATGTTATCCATAATTTGTCATGATCCACATAATCAAATGCCCTGGCATAGTCAATAAAGCACAAGTAAACATCTTTCTGGTATTCTTTGCCTGAAGCCAAGATCCATCTGACAGCAGCTATGATATCCCTTGTTCCACGTCCTCTTCTGAATCCCATCTTAAGGTTTTGTAATTTGCTGTAATATGTCATAGAACTCATGAACTGCTAAGGAAATGGTTCACACAGCAAGTCGTAAAGCTATTGGTCAGGCATTAGTCTGGAGGATTCTCCTCCCTTACATGGTTGTAGGAGCTAACAAACCCAAATTGGCAGGTCAGGTGATGGGCTTCTGGTCACAAGGATGTAGAAACTTATGAATCAGGTCAGATGATAGGGTGATGGTTCAAGTCCCAAGAACTGGAAGTAAGAAGATGGTGAACCAGGTGCAGGATCCAGAGAAACAAAGAGAACTTTTCCAGAGCATTAATATATATTGGATGCAGACCGTACCCTCCAGGAGACTAAGTGAGGCAGTGACTTTAGAGACATCCACCTGGATCTTGCCTCATTAATATTACAGACAACTCACTCCAAAATGGGACCATAACCACAGATATAGATGCTGGGATTTATAACATATGACAAAATGGAGTACTATGGCTAGAAGGACTATATTAAGTAATTCATCTTCTCAGGCTATTGTAGTTTTTGAAGTTTTCTTCTGTTTATTCTGTCTCTCTTTTCTTCAGATTATTATTATTTTTTTAATTTATTGTTTTCAGTGTTCTTCAAGTTTTGGTAATCCTTGGCTGTATATTCTTGTTTAAGAGTCAGTCACTGAAAAGCTAATTAGACTTGCTGTACAGCTTGGTAGGCTTGTCAACTAGTGGGCCTCACCACAGAGTGCTTGTCAAGAAATTGTCAGATGCCGGTGTCTATAGATCATTTTCTTATACGTTGGACGTTTTCTCCAGAAAGGTATCTTCCAGTTTCCTGGCCCCCAGTGTGGATTGCTCAGAGGAAGAAGAGGGTGGTCTTAGCACTGAGGAATCACTTTTCTTAGGTGTTTCACTCTCAGTCTTGCTTTTGCCCTCAGTTTTGCTGTATGCCAATATGGGAAGATCCTCCTTATTCAGAACCTAGGAAGTAAGCCTCCAGTTTTCTGCCAGGTGGGAGGCAGGCAGCTGCCTGCTTGCAGGGTTGGAGTCTTGACTGCTCCTTATATCAGTCCTTCTGTGTGCAATCCTGCCTCACCACCTCACCTTCCAAAGCAACTGGTGAATAACTCTTTAACCTTTCTGTATTCTGTGTAGAAAATTGGCTTGTTTTGTTTTGGCTTTCCCTTCTGCCAGCACAGGCTTCTGCTTTCTTTCTGCAGCTCAGTCACTTTGCCAGCTTGTATTAGCTTTTCAGCTCCCAAAATGTTACTTCTCTCATCTGCTGTAACTTCTCCTCTTTGCCCTTGTTGGTTTGTGTCCTTTCGGTCCTTTCCTGTCACATTTATCTATTTGGGAGGGCAGCAAGACAATGTATATATTTACTATGTCATATTCAGTGA